AAATTTCAGACTACCTCCCAATTCTCAGAAACTACCAAATATATTTCGATGCATTTTGTCACACATGATTTTTTCTACCAGGGATGATCCAATACTTCCCATAGCCCTCATGCAAAGGTACCTATATATTCCCGGAAATTAGTTTATCGTTAATAACTCCCTCAAATATATCTGTCTAAACACAAAATTTTGTACATGCAAATATAATATGAACGGAAATTATACTACTAAAGCACATCACAGTCGGTCCACAATTGGTTATAGCTCCCATATAAAGTCCACTTCTAAAAACCACATAAACGCACATTGATAAATAAAGCTATTGTGATAAAACTCAAGTTGAATATGTTTTTTGTACATACAAATAATTTTAGGAATTTGTTTCGGATCGGTCCATTATTGCTCATAGCTCCCATATAAGGCCTACTTCTGAAAATCACTTAAACGCACATATTTCATTGTCAAATAAAGCTATTTGATAAAATTCGACACAAATATTTTTTGTCTATATATGAATCACTCTACGAAATTTTTTCCACATAGGCCCAAAATTGGTCATAGCTCCCATATAAGGTCCACTTCCGAAAATCACCTAAACGTATATATTTCATTGAATTCTAAAGCTATAGGGATAAAATTCGACTTAAATATGTTTTGTGTACATATAAATTCTACCAAATTTTTTACCGGATTGGTCCATTGTTGGTCATAGCTCCTACTTCTAAAAATCATTTAAACACACATATTTCATTGTCAAATAAAGCTATCTTGATAAAATTCGACATAAATACGTTTTGTCAATATATGAATCACTCTTCGAAATTTTTTCCGGATAGGCCCATAAATGGTCAAAGCTCCCATATAAGGTCCACTTCCGAAAATCACTTAAACGCATATATTTCATTGAATAATAAAACTATCGGGATAAAGTTCGACTTGAATATGTTTTGTGTGCATATAAATCATTCAACAAATATTTTTCCGGATCGGTCCATATTTGGTAATAGCTCCCATATAAGGTCCACTTCAAAAAATCACTTCAACTCACGTATTTCATTATCAAATAAAGCTATCTTGATAAAATTCGACAAAAATATGTTTTGTGTATATATGAATCACTCTACGAAATTTTTCTGATCATAGCTTCTATATAAAGTCCACTTCCGAAAATCATGCATAGTTCCACATATGCATAAATGTTAGTACCCTTACTCCGGAAACAAACATTTTGTCAAGTTATCTAAAAATTTGATAGTTTAATGTGTTTTAATAAAAATTCTACAAAAATTAATATCTGTTAGAATATAATTACTCTTTTAAATTTTATAAAGCACAGACCATTCACAGGAGTTCATATAACTATTTCTTCATTGTTTAAAAAAAATTAATTTAAATTAAAATTTTTTTTTTGAAAAAACTCACTTTTTTGCTCAGATGAAAGCTTATACAATTTCCTTTAATGGCTTTATAGTCCCATAATGGGATGCGAGTGGAATATCTATAAAAAAATTATTTGTTAACTCAATAATAAGATTTTTTTCAATATTTGGCATTTCATTTCCCCCTATTTTTTGAAAATGGACGTTTTTGTTGTCTTTTTTGCTCGAATGAAAGCTTAGACCATTTCCTTTAAGAGCTTTTTGGTTACTAAGTAGGATCTTTTTATGTTTTCATATTTGGCTTTTTATTATATATTCAGTTCAAAATTATTCTATTCTAGCTTTTTCACCATGTAACTGGTGGGTCAATCAATTTAAAATTATAGTTTTTTCAACACGAACACTTTAAAAATAGGGTGCTAAATAAATAACTTATTTAAAGTCACAAAATAAGTGATTGAAGAAGTTTTTCTGACAGCTTTGTAAGAAAAATATTCTTAAATAAATGATAATTATATTGATTGATTTTTACAATTATTGTCACCAATTAGTCACATTACCCCGCTAAGGGTTAACACCAATAACTGGGTTACAATTAAAAAGCAATAAAGAAAACTTGTCAACTCATTGATAACTTTAATAAAATAATAGTATTATTTTTTTTTATAAATTTTCAAAACAAAATAAAAATTATATTACCTACATTTAGGTATGTGTGTAGGCTTAAATGACAAGACATACACCTGAAAATAATAACTAGCCGAAAAGTAAAACTGAGAAAAAACACAATTGTCTGTAATCTAAGTTGTCGTCATGGTTTCAACACATTTATTTTTGGATTTTTTTTATCTGGCAGCATTTTAAAACAAAAACCTAAGGAAAAAAAACAAAAATCATAAAAAAGGTAAAAGTGTAAATAATTGTTGTAGTTTTCGTAAATGTAAATGACTGTCTGTCTGTCTTTTTGAAAAACAAAAAAAACTCAAAACTGAAAACAAAGTTTATAAAATGCGTCTATTATTATGATTTCCATGAACAATTTCTATGCAATAACAGCAATTACATCATGATTTTTATAGTTATATGTTAGTGTGTGTGTGTATTTATGAGTATATGCCACATACAAACTTGCCACCAAGGTAAAGTACTATTTTTATATTCATTCACTTTAGATGTTTAAAAATGTGTGTCTTTGTATGCAAGAGTTTTTTTTTGTCTAAGGTGTTTATATGCATGTTTTTATTGGGTGATAATTGAAAAGTTTATTTAACAAAACAATTCATTGTGAACATTAATTTCAGTTGTATAATATAAACACCTTAAAAATGATCACACCCAAGGCATGCAATTGTTCTATGATGCCTCATATGAAAAGTTAAATAATTAAGTAAGTATATTGTTTGTTGAGGAAATTAAAAAGAACTATTATTTTGTAAATGTTGTTGATGGCATATAAAAAGGGTTTAATAAAACAACATTTCAAGGACAAATTTTAAAATAATAAATGTTAAAATTGTTTTTGTACACAATTTAAAATTTGAATGTGAGCAACTGCACAATAGTCGTTTATTTAATAACTGCTTCATACTGCGATTATAATCCGGAATGTTAATTCTTGAACTCTTACAATTATATACGAAAAATTGTCAATATAATTCTCAATTAGTTAAGAATATTTCACATCTGTTCGCATGTCTGTTGAAAATATTCGCAATTGATCACTCTTTTTTCATTTTCGAAAATTTAATCAAACAGCACAAATTGTTAAACAACTTTAGAATTTGTTCTAAAATAACCAGTTCTAGAATGGATGTAAGCAGAAGTAGGTCAGATTCATGAACAGCAATCTTGGAACTAGTGATGCCGCCATTAACTCTGGAACTTTTTCCTTAGAACATTGTTGTGATTTCAAAGAAATTCTAAAGAGTTTTTATGGAACTAGTTCAATGGAACGCATACTAGTTTAGAAACTACTTCTTGGAACTTAATTTAAATTTATTTTTCATTAAAAACTGATTTTATCCTAGGAGCTAGAATCAAATCTGAACTGATCCCAACAAAATTCATTGGAGAAATTGTTGTTGACATAAAAGTTTGTAAAAAGTACAGTATGAACAATATGGTTTTTTTCAGTATAATTTTAGCTTATATAAAACGTAGTCATGCAGAAGGGTCGGGTTGCATGAGGGTTAAGTGAAATATTGGAACGCCAAATTTCATCGAATTATCGACTTAGAAAATGATTCTGAGCCTATTGGTATAATTAAAGGTCGGTTTAGGACCATGCTTTACAAACATTAGTGGGCAATTTTTTCGAAATAGGTCTCAAATATTCCGTAATTTTAAGCTTATCACGGGAAAAATAATTAAAATTTTTGTTAGGTCTCACAAAGTAGGGAACTGAGACCCATTCTAAAAGTATTCATTTTTATTTTTCTTGTGCTCAGTACATGACTACATGAGATTCCTCAAAAAAGGTTTCTCGAGACACCCTAATGTACATATGTATAAGTCTTTTCTCAAAATCTTCCTAGTTCTAAGAATGGTAAATTAGAACAAAAGTAATAAAACGTTGAAAAATCCTGTTCCATAATCGCTTCCATATAACTAGTTCGAAAGGTGACAATGACGAACAGAAATAATTGGTCTCCAGGCCAAACAAGAATGACTAAAGGCTATAATCGGAACTAGTTGTAGAATTAAAGCAATTTTTCCCGGTTATCATTCTTAAAAAATGAATCTGTTCGAGAACTGTTCTATAAAACGAGTGTCGTAAAGCTTCTCGTGTTCAGTACATTAATACGCATAAATTAAGAGGTATTACTACATGAGATTCCTAAAAATACTGTTCCTTGGGACGCTCTAATGTACATATGTATAAGTCTTTTCTCAAAATCTTCGCTAAAACTAGTTCTAAGATTGGTAAATTCGAACATAAATAATAAAAGGTCAAAAGAAACTGTTCCAGAACCGTTCTATAAAATGAGTATCGATTTCATAACGCTCCGATGTAACCAGTCCCGAAGGTGATAATATCGAACAGAAATCATTGGCCAAACAAGAACGAGTATTGGATATAATCGTAACTAGTTGTGGAACTAATGCAATTTTTTCGGTTATCATTCTTAAAAAACGAACCAGTTCCAGAATTCTTCTATAGAACGAGTGTCGTAAAGCTTCCACAGAATCAGTTCCAAAGGTGACAATATCGAACAAAAAACGTTGGTGTCCAAGCCAAAACGATTACAGGTTATATTCATGAGATCTAGACCAGTTGCGGAACGAAACATTTTTTCTGTGTAAAGTTGGAAAGTTATTAAAAAAATTGGAAATATCTTGTGATTTTTAACATTCATGGAAAAACTCAACACAATTTAATTGGTATTTTGAGAATTTTTTTCTGACAAAAATATTGTGCTCCGATCTTTATAATAAATAATAAATTTGATATATTTTTTATAAAAGGGCCTTCTTTTTGTCGAAATGGGTTGAAGAATTGTGTCCAGCAAAACATTTTCACGAATTTAAGTTAAATAAAACAAAATTTTATTTTAAATATTAAACACCTTTTCTAAAATTCATACGAAATACTTTAAGAACATTATTTAAATATTAACTCACCTTTGTTTAACACACATTATCCAATATATGAAACCATGCAAGATAAGTTATTAGTTGTTATTGCAGAACGAACAAAAAAATATATTCCAAAAAATTGGAAAATAAATTCAGGAACACGTGGAGATTTTAACAGCAGCAAAAATCACTATTTTTTTATAAATCTATTAAAATGTTAGTTACACTTTAGCAAAGAATAATAGAAACTAAATTAGAAACTTTACACTTAATATGAATGATATTTTTGTATTCCTTTACAAAAGGATAATGGTTTTGATTGATTTAAAAAATAACACTTGTTTAGCAAAATGAAAACATAAAACTGAACAGATTCATTGATTTAGACATCTAAGCGTTTAGCACTTTATTTTGTTTGGTAATCGTTGTTGTTTCTTTGCTGTCAACCAGGTATTCAAACAAAAGCAATATTTGTTTTGATTTATTTGTATGTATTTTTTCTTTCTTTAAAATTTTGACTGATTGATTTGCAGGTGTTTTATTAAGGGTTGTTGGATTTCTTTTTTTCTTGGGAAAAGTTAAATTATTGCAGGATATTTTTTTTTTAATTTGAAATTTTTACTTAATTCGTTGATTGTTTAAGTTTGACTAATGTTAAAACCACTAAGCACTAAAATAATGAAAATAAATTAAAACATTATTGTTAAAAAAAAATTTAATAAAACAAAACACTTTGAAAATGGAAAACGAAACTAAGGGAGTTTTTAGGTTGGCACAAAAATTTTAGAAAATCCATGTTTTAGCAGCACTTTTTTTATAACACATTTTTTTACATAAATCCTTTTTTTAATTTTTCAATCATTTTATTTAAAATTTCCTTATAATTTGTATAATATATAATATTTTTTAATATTTTTATCATTAATATCCACGCCCTTTTTGCTTTTTTTTTGCACTGGGATTTATAAAATTTTTTCTCACTTATTTGGTTTATTTTGCACAAAAAAAACACTCTGATACACACTCAGCAAAATTCCTTTCAACATAAGTATTTTTTTTTCTACACGTGACTCAATTTTTGTTAGAGGTCATGATAAAAAAAAATGAAAAACAATTGTTTAACACTTAAATTCACTGAAAAAAAAACTACTTATACAAACTATATAAACACTATTTGAATTATATTTATTAAATTTCAATTTTCTCAACCCATGCTTTTCATTACCGTGTTTTTGGTATAATTTTTCTTTAATTTGTTCTGTTTTTTTTTTTTTTGTCTTCTTATTTAGTTTTCACATCACCCGTGTATATACTTTTATTTAATGTTTAGTCCATGTCCTTTTACCGTGTTGTGTATGTCTCCAATTTCTTTGGTGTTTTAGGCTCCAACGTGTTTTGTTGAAAAAAACATTATTTACCATGCCAGCCAGCAGTTGTAAGCCATGGCAAAAACAGACATTTCCGTTTTTGCCGTTATTTTTCTCTTTTTGTTTTGTGCTACTTTGTGCTTTTCCCCACATTTCCCTTTACTCTCAACTCTAAATGAAAAAAGAAAAGAAACGAACTGTTTGTGTACATTTTTCTCTGTGGGAAATTTTGCAGAAATTTTCTATGCTCTTTTTGGGTTTTATTTTTGTTTTACACCCTGACTGTCTGTTTTGGGGCTCTTTGAAATTTGGGGAATCATATGGGTTATAAGGACTTTTTTGTGACAGTTTGCAGCTGATTTAATGAAAAAAATTGGGTTTATGTTCTTTTTTATTCAAAAATAATGTAATTAAAACAATAAATATTAGTTAATTGCATAGAGTGACCTACTTATAAAACATACTTGAGGGTTTCAAGTTTAAATTCCGTGGCTTCTTTGATCTCTTTCAGAGATAGCTGATAAAAATTTTTCCAGCCGTTTAATCTAATAAAGGTATTTAATGATTTTTGGACTGGCTGATGTATTGACATATTCTATTCTCTTTATATAAAATTTTAGCATATTAGATCCAGTTGTTCATGTCCTACCACATTCTAATTATTTCCGGAAAGACGGACCTATGGTACCCAACTTCCAACCGTTATAGATTCTTAGGGATATTTTTTCTGAAAAAATATTTCTAATGAAATCTTAAAGGCAATTTTGTTCATTTGTTATAAAGTTTTTAGTTCTAATGATTAAGTCCTGTTGTATTTAAGTTGACTTTGGAAAGAAAGACAACAATCTTACTATTTGGTTCTTGTAGAACTTAAAACCGTGAAGCTAAAATCAAACGCGAGTACCAGTCAGTAAGAACGCAACTACATGGCCTTTGCACTGGATACTCTGAATACATTACCTTCACTAGAATCCCTAGATATCATAAGGGATTAGTTGCCAGATCCATATAACATTCATCCGCAAATTAATTATCAATCTGAATATCTATCTACTCGCTTTTGGACTTTCTCCTATGGGGCGATAAGGTTATCAATAAAATGTTTCTATTTTATTCTTTTCGAACTTTGACATCATTATCAAGAAATATTTTTGACCGAATTTAGGCTTTATTGGGCCTGCTGTTTTAAATCTATCAAGATTTAATTGATTTTGGAAACTTATGGCATTTTATTACATGGACACTATATATAAGTTTAAAACTAACTTAGTGGATAGGTCATATTCTAAGTAGACCAGTAAATAACACCACACGAGTGACTTTAGTTTGGAATCATTAGGGAAGTATGAGCCTAAGTCATCGTAGAATTGCATAACGCTGAATAGTATTTAGGAATCTCAAAGGAATCAACGAAATTAAAACACACTACAATAAGTTGTAATTTTTTGAAGAAGTTCTATGGTCCCAAGTGGAATAAATAAATGTAAAATTTCCCGATTTTCAATAGGAAATAATTGATTACCATTGAAGAAGGTTATCTCAGCAGTTTGCATCAGATGGACTGATTGTATTAAGAGTTTATAAGAATGAGGTATATAAATGCTTTATTTCACTGAGTTATCATCGAGAACTCCATCTAATCTAACTGAAGGTCCAATTAATGGAAAATTTAAACAGAGAAAAATCTCCTAAAGAGTACAACACAAGAAGCCTCAGAATGAACAAGTTCAACTTTAGTACGTTTCTTAGGTGGACACATAGGATTATGAGCTCAACTATACGAAATTGGACTTTTGATTCAGACGAATGTAGATAAAATGGAGAGTACAATGAAACCCTGTAGGACTTGTTATGTCATTGTCTGACTTTCGTTTAAATTAGATCCAAATATCTTGAAAGCGATATTATTCCTCATATAACATCTCTCACGAACACCTACTGGATAATTTTAAGGAATTACGTACAGGAAACTGTGTTTCTAATCATCAGGGGATATTACCATAATATATCACTCTAGGTTCATATAAACATATTTATGAACACGAGCACAGAACAGGCCTGATAGTTGCCTAGGAGCATTTCTTTAGATTTGATGTAGCATGTATATTTCTATCAAACTAACTAACTAAAATAATTATAGAAAATACTGAAGAAAAAGCTTTAAATTTTTTGCTCCAAAAGTTTACGTGTTGAATACTTTTGTGACCTCAATACTACAGGGTCTAAATTTCAATCTGACTGAGTGGCTTTTAAAGAGCTTATCTGAAATCAAATCTGACAAGCTACATAGTCTAAAAGTTTTAAAAGAGCTTATCTGATCAATACTTCACATATTTTAATCTTAAGCTGGGATCAGCAGAGAGATACAAATTGACTCTCTTACACTTATCATATTTCGTGTAAAATCAATAGAGCTTATAAGCTCTTAAGAACTCATTAGCATAAAGCTTTAAAGCTTTGACGATTTAAAACTATAATTCATATGACAAACTTTTATCAACGTATTCATAAAATTCCTGCAAAACTCGGAAATCTCTTGTACTTACACAACTACTAACTTTTCAAGTAGCCTGTACGAAAACCAAGCAGTGATGTTGTAAATAAGGCAGCGAACTAACGAATAAGAAGTCAAGGTTCGTATTATGTGTGAGCAATTAAGCAAAAACCTTTTTAACTCCCTATTTGTAAGTACTTATTTAAGTAGTTATTTGTAAGCAAGCGTGATAAGTACTTGCCTCCATATAATGATGAAGTACTGAAAAGCGACTTTTTCAACTTTTTAAGCTTTTGCTGCAATTTTTTGGGTTTTTTTTCACACAACTTTTCTTTAATAAACCGACATCTTTATTTGTCCAACCTGCCCAATGATCAATTGATTGAAAGCTTATGTATATGTAGTTTCATATGTATGTATTATAGATCTAACGATTTCAAAATGTTGGATCTGAAATGGTGTGATAAATTGAATCGATATTTTGAAAGCAATGAATGATAATTCCATTGACTACGAATGATGTATCATACTTAATAATGGAGACCACCTCTAATAATAAGTGAGAGTAATTATTTTATAATAGATAACACTAAAAAATTTGCTAAAAGAGCAAGTTAATCTGATTATAAAAAAAAACTTTAATTTCTCTCAATATCCTTCCTCAACAGCTGATCTTTACTGTCATTCCAAAAAAAAAGTAACAAAATCAAAATTTATGGCTTTGATCCACATTTCGCAAAGCTTACACATCTACATACACACACAAATTTTAGCTCACTCACAAAATGGTAGTAAAAATCAGCTGTTTAAATTATTTCAAACAATTGAACGTTACAACAAACAACCAAGAAAAAAACAGACAAATTCTGCACAAAACAACTGGCAACATACAACCAACCTAATTCAAAAATATTAGTACTTCCAATGATCCCAAAATATATTGTAGTTGCACAAAGGTACAGATTTACAGCAAGAGTAAGTACCATTACAAATATTCTCTTTTTTTGGTAAGGAATTTTCTTTATATAGAAATTAAACTCTCCTTGACAGCAAACATAGAAAAAAACTCCCTTCTCTCTTTGGTAGTAGGTATGTAAGTATGTGCGTGTGTGTTTGTGATGGTTTCTGTATTGGAGTGTTGAATTTTTTCATTGTAATATATTTTGCAACAATTCCTCTCAACCCTCTTATGTTTGCTTTAGTGAGTTTTACTTTAATAGAGTTAATACAATGTTTGACACATAAGGCGCCTGTCTGTATGGTAAAATGTCAGGTTTTCTTCTTTTGTTTTTTTTAGTTGTTTGATTCTATTTGTTCCTTTTACTTCTTACTATAGTTACATACATACATACTTATGTATGTATTTTAATGTAAATGTTCTATATATAGTAAAAAAATAAAGATAAATCAAAATAAGTACCATTGTAAAGAAATAGTACTTTTAACAAAGTAAGGGCATATAGTTATTTTTAAGCTTTTCGTTGATATATAGTAGTAGATTTATGTGGAGCAGATTTTATTTGCAGTGACAGATAAACCTGCTTAAATAGCTTATTTTGTTTAGTTTCAACTCGAGAACTTTAAATGTTTCAAAATTTCCAAAAAGTACTAAAATTTCCTTCAAAAAGTACTTGTTTATATAGAGAAAGAAGGTGCTAAAGTACTTTAATTTTCATCCCTGTATTTTTACTGTTTTGTGTCAGTTTTTCAGTTTTTTTTTTCTTTTTCGCAAATTCCTTTTTGTGTATTTTCAGTTTTTCTTTTAAGCAGCAAAGACAGAAAACAGCCAGAATGAAGAAAAAACATGCCAATACTGGAATTTTTGTTGCTGTAGTTGTTGTTGTTTTTTCTTGTATACTTCTGCTCCTGCTTGTAAGTATGTATGTACTTTTTTTACTACTACTACTTCTGGCTGATGGTTAATTTTGCTTGGGGTTTTCTTATAAGAGTATGGGAACCTTTTGCAAAAAAAAAAAAAAAAGAAAAAAAAAAACATCACAAAATATACAAGCGCGCGGCGGGTGTGGTCCATATTAGAAAGAAATACAGGAAAATTGTGATTTTTTTCACTTGTTATAAAATTAAATTATTTGAATTTTCCTTTTGTCATATTTTCTCATTTTTATAACAACACCAATTTAACACAAATTATTTCTAGTTTTAATTTTTTTATTTTTCTTTTTTTAAGGTTTGTTTTTTATGCCAACCACCCTTTTTCAATTTCCTTTTTCATTTTTTATTATTATTTTTTTTTATTACAAGTCACCCTGTGTTTTTTTCACTTTTTATGTAAAAACAATTTTCCTTGTTTTATAATTAACCTTTAATTTTTCCAATTTGATTTTCTTTAACACTTTTCTTTTTCACTGGTCATTACTTTTTCCGAAAGGGGGTTTTTATTTTCAAAAATTACAACAAATTTTTAAACAAATCATAAGAAAATTCTTATTTTCTTTTATTTTTTGTAATTTCCTCTACTTTTTCCTTATAAAAACAATTTTTATTAGAACACACACATAAACTTTTTTGTATTTTCTTTTATATATATTTTTTTTTAAGATTTCCCGTCGTTACAGTATTCGATTTTAATCCAAAAGACGCACACGTTCGCTTATCGAGCACAACAACTGAGAACTAAATTGCTCTTGAATGGTGCTGCATACAGGAACCTGTGTTGTCGGACAGTTTGTCTGTCTGTCTGTGTGTTGGGTATAGACATTACCACACAACAAACAGAAAATATGCCTTATACTAATACCCACCAACAGACAAAACAATTTGAGCAAATAATGATGCTCTCAATTGTCAAAGTTACGCGAATATCTCAAACCGGTTAAATAACTTGTTTATAACTCCCTCTTTAGAAAAATTCTCTATTTAAGGTTTATACTCTCGCATTCATACTCTTTTTCCATTTACACGAACTCACATACTTTCTTCTGAACGAAACATTTTTTGTGTGTGATGAAAACAAAGAAGTACATTTGTCACACATGAGGAAAACTCTTCTATCACTGCTTACTCTCTGTTTAATCTCTGTTAGTGTTTTACAGGTAAGTTAAGCAAACTCTTCTACTGGAGTGTGTTCGTTAACATAACTGTTAAAGCTAAAACCAGTTTATGTTGCATGTAGATGCTGTATGTATTAATTTGGTTTGGTTTATCTTGTTTAAAGCCTCTCTTTTTTTCTTCGAAAAAAAAAGTACTTAAGAAGCCCTTCCTTCATTCATTGATACTTGTATTATGATACCTGTTAATTCTTTTTGTCTTAGTTTTAAAGTTCTCATTTTACCAATAACCCTTTTTATGGCTGCATTAACCTTCATTTGGAAATAATAAAAGTGTTAATGGTTTTCTAATATAATATTGAAATTTTATTCTCCATGGGAAACAAAGACTATTTTGAAGTAATTTTTTTATCTCGGACTTGGATGACTCCAACTATCTCTCCGTTATACAAATAAATATTTACGAAGCCTATGATAATATGTTGCACTTGATCCAATCGGTATTTTGCAACATATGAACCGGTAAAGTTGCCCTATGATGGAAAGCTTTATGAAAAAGATTGGCAAACTACAAGAGCTCTAATATGTATACTTGTGCGTTGAGTGTTCAAGATTCGGCAGCCATGAGTAACTAATCACAAATTCACCAGCTCTCAACTTACCCAGTCATTTATATGGCAGACAAGAGTTTTTAACTTAGAGCCTGATGAGTCCAACAACCGCTCCATTCAAGTATTAATCATTAAGACGCTGAAAACAACAATCGGCAAAGGCGACCAAGTACAAAAAGATGAATGAAAAAGTCTGGCGAACTACAAGAGTACTGTTCTGTATATCAGTTCGTTGATTATTAGAGATCTAGCATTCTTGAGTAACTAATAACAACTATTTACATAGAAGTCAGGCTAAGTAGACAAGAGTATTTACACTTGGACACTGATGACCCCAACCACCTCTTCATTAAATGAGGACCATGAAACGGAGTTGAAAGTGATGGCCATTAAGACGCTGAAAACACCAACCGGTCTTTTCCGGCAAAGGCGACAAAAGACGAAATGTTGTACGTGAAAGTCTATCGAACTACAAAAGTTCTCTTCTGTATATTAGTTCGTTGTGTGTTAGAGATTCAGCGATTCAAGCGGATACTCTGTAAGCACTAACATAATTGTCAGTCTGAGTAGGCAAGAGTGTTTACACTCGGACTCTGACTGACTCGGACTCCAACTACCTCACCATTTAAGTATTAAACCTTTATAAAGCCAATGAAAAGGAGTTATCGGCGATCAAAGCCGAAGTTGGACGAAAAAGTCCGGCGCTCTATTCCTATATACGGTTATTCCACAGTCACATACATATATATGGCAGACGGAATAGACAAGAGTGTTTACAATCGGACTCTGATGACTCCAACTACTTGTCCTTTCAAGTATTAAACCATAATGATATCGATTAAAAGGAGCTGAATAATGTAAAAAATACCTGTCGGTCTTGAACGAATAAGTCTGGCAAACTACAAACGTTCTCTTCCTTATATTAAGTCGATAAGTACTCGAGATCCGGCGTCATACATGCAGGGATAAGATAGGCATTATATCTAATAAGATCAGGTCAACCGATCAAAACCATTATTTGGGATCGATATTAATAAAAGAAACTATCAAGAACACAATCAAATTCCCTGTCTGCTAATGGTTCTGCAAACCGACTTACTATGGAGCGTCAATTCTTGAAGAATGTTTAAAAACTAATTTGGACATTCGGGAGGTTTCATAAATTCCGATGCTTAGTAACCAATTACACTTTTCGTCATTCCTAAGTACTATACATAATACTTACCCCCGTTAACACCAACATAAATAATTGTAGCAAAAGTATAAGTTAAAAAAAAACATATCACCTTAAGTCCACCATAACTTTTAAAGGTTAAAAAGTGAAGATTATTATTGTCGTTTTTTCTTCTTTAACTATGTACAATGGGAAACCTGTTTGGATCATTTGTTTTTAGGTTCTAGAAAAAGATCTTGTAGCGCAAGTTTTTCTTAAATTACAAGCACAAGACTTGGATAAATTTAATACAATCAAACAATACAATATGATCAATTTAAACTTACATACATACAATTGTATTATTTGTCGTAGTTACAGAGTAAATATTTACGAGGATCGAATGAAATATCATAAAAATAGTTATTCTTAATAAATTTTGAAAAATTTTTTTAAATGAAAGTAAAAAGTTTAGTGTATCGTAAGCTATTTTTTGCAGCGATTTTCAAAAGTTAACTGTAAAGAGATCTTGAGGATTTATATTACCATAGTTTACTGTGATCACATTGTCATGAAAAAATAAAAAACTTCGTTTTGACAAGACCACTCTTCAGATGTATCGTAATGTATGTATATCTCAATGGTTTATTATAACCAAGGATGGATATAATTTAATTGCTGAGGAATATATTTCTCTTGACATCTATGGCATTCGCAGAAAAATTGGAAACTTATTTCTTCTTTATCGCTGTTCTTACAACTGCGACAAAATTATATGGGAGCCCAAAATGACTTGAGTGTCTGCTTAGCACCAAGTGTTCCGTTATATCCCGCCATAATATGGGTATGATATGATTTGATTTCCATCTATGTAAGACTTCAGGACCTAATGTCTTCCGATTTCACACATGAAAATTGTTAAATCAAATCAGCTGTCCGATTGAGTCATAATATTATTAGCCATTATTTCTACATTGAACTTAGATAATTAGTTAGAAACATTATACGGGCAGGATATAACTGGATTCAAGTCTACACGTATCGTGATTCCTCGCCTATTACATACACATATGTAGGTAATAATAGATACATTCTGGTATTTTACATGTTCTTGGTAGAAATCCATTAAGCTTTATAGTCTAGCATTCTAACTTATTAGACATAACATTCAGAAGTCGTCTGTTCTTTCTTGACAAACCTCGTATAATGCTAACATGCGGTCATACTTGCCTACAACTATATAGACTTGCATACATACATATATACATAAATATACAAATGTAAATATATATTAGAATATGTGGAAAGGAACGCACCTTATGCTGTTTAGATCGTAGTCGTCGTTGTCGTCTTCAACCAACCATGTGGAAATGTGTGAACGTTACTTCAAGTTGTCGTTTTTATCATCATTATAATAATTGTTGTTTTCCTTTTAGTTTTGTTGTTGTTGCTGTTTTTGTGGCTGTTTTAGTTTTAATGTTTGTCTTTAATTTAATATTCCCCTAGTTTTTACTTTTTTTATTATTAGTGCAGCAAAAAAAAAGGGTTTTTATTATTATTTGTCATTCATTATTATTGTTCCGTTTTGTTTGCTCCAATTCAGTTTTTTTTTTTCGTTGTCATTTTATTTTTTTAGTTTCTACTTTCATTCTGTTCTTCATAATTAATTGTTGCATGATTAATAGTTGTTTAAATGTTTGGACATTCATTTATGTTGATTGTTGTTCTTATGTGGAGAATTTGTATGTGTATGTTGTGGCGGTGGTTTGTTGTCCAATAACCAAATATACTTTTATACATACATACAAAAACTTTTAATACTTAACGATTTGGCGGTTAATCGTATTTTAATCGTAAACAATTAACTTAATGAATTGTTTATGTGAATATAGTTTTTGTTGTTGTATTGCTATTGTGTTGCTCTTCTTGTATATAAGATCATTATCTAGCTTGTTTTATTTTCAAAATTTATGTTCAACATACAATTTACTACCTACAGGAGGGATCTTTTATTTTATTTTTTTGTGGCTAAATTTTGTGACAATGTGTGTGTGTTTGAAATTCAATGAACTTGTTGATTTTTCATTAAAATTGTTTTTGGTATATTGTGTTTTAGTTTTTATTTCACACGCTTGGCTTAGTATGTCCCTTGGTTATGGTCACGTTTTGACAACGTTTATTTAGTAATCAAATTGTATTTTATCTTGTAAAGATCACAAACTAAAAGGAGTTTATGATGGTTATTAAGACTAATTTATTAACAGTAATTAATAGATTAATGATTTTTAAAATAAAATTTCAATTTATGTATTATGAATTTTTCCAAAAAAAATACAAATTTCATTCATGAGTTATTTCCATCCTTGATTTCAGCCATTAACTGTAAATAGATAAAATTATTAAAGATATCTAGAGTTTTCAGAAAATTGCTTTCAATAAAAACAGATGAAAAGACGGAGAGACAGATAGATAGATAGATAGATAGATAGATAGATAGATAGATAGATAGATAGATAGATAGATAGATAGATAGATAGATAGATAGATAGATAGATAGATAGATAGATAGATAGATAGATAGATAGATAGATAGATAGATAGATAGATAGATAGAAGATAGATAGATAGATAGATAGATAGATAGATAGATAGATAGATAGATAGATAGATAGATAGATAGATAGATAGATAGATAGATAGAAGATAGATAGATAGATAGATAGATAGATAGATAGATAGATAGATAGATAGATAGATAGATAGATAGATAGATAGCTAGATAGATAGATAGATAGATAGATAGATAGATAGATAGATAGATAGATAGATAGATAGATAGTAGATAGATAG